CTTGTAGGTATCATCACGTCACTCACCCCCCAATATACACCCCCATATGTCATGTTTCCTTCTTTACTATTTTGGCAAGATAGAATTTTTCAATGGTTTTATAATTTAGTTAAGAATTAAAATTATAACATAAAATACACACCTGCACAGTTTTAACTTGTAAAATATATTTCTTAAACCTTTTTAAGCAATCATTCTAGTCCAGTCTTAACGACTTGATGCTGTTGCTTTTTCTTTCATTTCTTTCTCTTGGTGACTTTTGTACCGCAGGGCTTCTTTAAAAGAATGTCTCTATGGTATTCTAAGACCTTACATATTGAGTAATTAGATTTCCTCCTCCTTCTTTATAATAGTTCTTTGATTATGAACATTTTACAGTCATGTTCCTTTTCTATTACTACATTATTTGGAAGTAGTAATTTCATTGTTTTCTGTGTCCAGGGATACTTTTGAGAAGTCAGGTGTCAATGTTTTGTTCCTTTTTTTGAAGGAACTGATCTTTATTTTCTGAAAGTTTTTGAGGTTTTCTTATGTTCTGTGATACTCTTAATTGTCCTTATAATTGTTCTGATGTAACTTTTCCTGAACCATATAGTGCTTTCACTATTTTAATAGGAACTTCTGTCATTATTCAAATATTTCTTCTCTTCCATTTTGTCTTTTCTTTTTCCATTGATTTCTGCTGTATGAATGCTCTGATGCATTTTCCTCTGATGCATGTCTCCTTTTCTAAGTTTTTCCTCTTCCATCCACTAGGTCTTTTCGGAGAGGTTTTGTTTTTTTTTTTAATCTTATGTTCCAATTAATTAAGTAATTTTCCATCTGTATCTACTAATTATACTCTTTAACCCATCTTTGGGAATGTTTATGTCACCATACTGTATGTATATACCCACTATCTTATAGTGGGAGGAGGATGAACAGTCAGTGAACTGCCGCTCAAAACCCACTGGAGGGTCGGCATTGGGTCAGTTCCGACTCGACAATGCACAGTACCACCACCATTTCATATTGATGCTTTGTCTTAAATGTGTATATAAATTTATATTTTAAAAGTATTTATTGTTGTCTATGGATATTATGGATTGAGGCTCAATGTCAAAAGACAAAGATTCTTACCACTGGGCCAATTGGCAGCATCAGGATGGATGGTGAAGAGACTGAGATTATTCACAACTTTAGTTTGCTTGGCTCTACAGTCAGCACTCTCTGCACCAGTAGCCAGGAAATTAAAAGACATATTGCCATGGGAAAGTCTGCTGTTAGGGACCTCTCCCAAGTACTGAAGAGCAATGGTGTCTCTCTGGAGACTAAGGTGCATCTGATACAGATCATGGTCTTGGCTATCACTTGTTCTGCATCAGAGAGTTGGACAGTGACTAAGGAGGATAAAAGAAGAATTGATGCCTTTGAGCTTTGGTGTTGGAGAAGAGTATTGAGGGTACCATGGACTGCTGAGAAAACAAACAGATTCATCCTGGAAAAGGTCAAACCAGGCGGTTCCTTGGAGGCAAGGATTCTGAGGCTCCGTCTAACATACTTTGGGCATTTTGTAAGGAGAAACATCATGCTTGGTAGGGTGGAGGGCAGGCGCAGGAGGGGAAGGCCCTCTAGGAGGTGGATTGATTCAGTGACTGGGGTAATTGGGATGGGTGTGTCAGAGATGGTGAGATTGGCACAGGACAGAGCAGAGTTTAGGGCTGTTGTACATAGCGTCACTATGAGTCGCAAGCGACTCGACAGCACATAACAGCAACAACAACATGGATATCATAATGCCTACCACACCTTGTTCATTCTGTTTTGTTTTTTTGGTTGTGTTTGTTTCCTTGCTGCTTTTCTGATCCTGTGTCTATAAACCTCTTACAAGTCTTAATACTTTATTTGTATCAGCATTCAGGTGTCTTGACTCTCTGGAGATGCCTTCCACTCTCAAGTTGAAAAACAAATAAATAGCCATTTATAATAAAGCATGATAAAACCATGGTGGACATGGTTGTAATGATATGGAAGCACGTGGGAAGAGCTCTTGATTCACTTGTGGGAAAGAGCAAAGGGGTAGATCAGCAAGTTTCCCCAGGGATGTGTGCTTTAGGGCTGGTCCTGAAGGGTAGCTTTTTGTGTAGCTAGGGGAGGAGGCTTAGAAGACGTTGAGAGAGAAGGAATATCGCAGGCAGACAGAGCCAGTACTTTAAAGAGGGAAACAAAATGAGTAGTTTTACATGGCTGGAGCTTTTCCTTTCCATGTGATAATAATTTTCGCAAAATGCCATCACGTTGATTTCAGCTTACAGGACCCTTACTAGACATAGAGCTGCCTCATGAAGATGGCAGGGTGACAAATTTGACAAAAGCAGATAGCCACATAGCTTTCCTACAGAGCAACTGGTGTGTTCCAAGCACCAACATGTAGGCTTGCAGTCAGGTGTAACCGCTGTACCAACAAGGAATAGTACAGGAAGTAAGTAAACTGAAGTGTAGCAGGAGAGTGTAGAATTTGAAGAAAGGAATTAGTATCATATTTTCATTTTAGAAAGACCTTTTCTCCACATGGAGAATGCATTGACGTGGGGTAACACAGCAGCCATTGAGAGAATTAAAGGAATATTGCAGTAAAATTGATGAAGAAAGATTATGACTTGAAAGAAGGTAATAATAGTGATGAAAGAGACATAAGTGATGAATGCTGGCTAGCCAAGACCCTACGATTGATTAAATTTCATCATGAAAGAGGGAGTTTCTCTTTTGTTTAAGGCATACCATTAAAAACATACATGATTATAAATGTCATCTAATTGAAAGAAAAATTGGAATCACATAAAAGCTATAGCTTAATATTTTTGAAAGACCAATTTCTTGTTCTTGAGTGTAATACAAGTAGTTCAGAGAATTGGGAAATTTTTACCTATGTTTGTGGCAGATTCAGTTAATTGATAATTCATGACAAAACCAGGCTTGGCTTATCCTCCTTTGGGTGGCCATTCAGAAGATTGTTTGAGAATTATCAATGTATGTGATGAGTAGGTGCTGCTGGAGAATGCACTGTGACACAGTCTAGTACACACCTATTGCCTTTAAAAATCCTCACTCTCTTGTGAAGCACCTGTTTCACTTAATGAATTACAGGCTTGTACTTTGAATCTGAGCATTTTTACACATTTTTATTACAATTTTATTTTCTAGTAAGAACAATTTTCTGACCAAAAGCTGTTGAGAAAAAAAAAAATTACATTGATGTATGTTATACTAATGCAAACTTTGCAATTTATTGTCAAGGGAGAGTACAAAAAAGTAGATATAATATGATTCTGTTTGGGATAAATACAGAATGGGACAGATGCACACACTGCATAGGATATCTCTAGAAGGAAAAGAGAAAACATATTAAATGGACATCTATCATTCATCGATAGGTCAATAGGAGTAATCTCTCTCACATTCTCTGTGTATGTCCATGTAGTGTTGTGTGTTTATTATTCACATATTTGTCAGTGGACATTACGTTTTCTGTGAATTTTAAATTAGAATTATGTAAGAATAAATTCTCCCTGGTTAGAACTGAAAGATTCGTTAGACTTCCAGCACTTATTCAAATAGTGCATTCATTTTGTGATAATAAAAAGAAAGTAATCATTCATCTAGATGTTAGTCTTTTGTCACACTTGGTAATTTATTCTTGTCATTTGTCATTAGGACTATATCCAGAGAATGAGTTTCAGAAACTCTTATATTTCTAAACATAGACTGTATGGTACTGCTGAACTTGGTAAAAGCAAGAAGTAGAGAACAGAAATGCTAACGATGAGTGCTGATCAGAAGTAGGAATTTATTCCAGGTGAGCCAGACTGGACTGTGAAAACAAGGTTGGAAGCCATGAGAAAACTCTCTGAGGTGTTTGGAAAGGTAGTTTGGCAAGACAGAGAGAACAGTGCAATATATCTTTTAGGCAAAGGAAATAGAGGAGACAGAGAAAAGAAATAAACTTGGAACCCCTTCAGAGAAAGAAAAAGGGATGGGGAAAGATTGAATTTCCTGCATTGTTGGTATTAGAAGGCTTCTGGTTTTCTAACCTTCCAATCACAACCATGTGACATTGTTGCAGTGTGGTAGAATGATAATTTTGTGTTAAGTTTATTACTTTTAATAAAACTACACTATTATTTGGACAAACAGTAAGCAGAAGTCTATTTATCCCTAATAAATGAGGATAAAATGAAAGGAGAAAGAATCAGTCTATTTGCAATATTTCACTAAATACGTATTTCTCTCTCTTTTTTTTTTTTACTTGCATGGATATTTGTAATTTTAGTACCATCAGCATTCTGTTTTCCTATGAAAATCCATACATTCAGATTTACAGTGTGTTATATTTTATGTTTGTGAGGGTTTTAGGTGATAACTTTGTTTTTCAGTATTACAAGAACCTTGATGTCTCATGTTTACTGTGCACCATGTTGTAAATTAATATCAGGGGAAAATTGTTATTATTTAAATATTTCCACATGTGCACAAACATTTACACAGTTTACTTTAAAATAAATTTTTTGACGTATAACTCGAGTGATGGATAATTGATAAAGCAAATATAGCAAAATGTCAATTATGGCAGATTGCTAGATACATGAGTGTTCACATTATTTTTCTCTAAGTTTGGGAATTTTTACAGTATATGTAAAAAAACATAGCTTCTTATAGAAAAGGTGGAATGAATGAAATATTTACCCATAGCGAAGTAATAATAAACAGAGTGCTTTCTCTTTTGCACTGACTATAAAAAAATTAACAGTACTCTTTTTATTAGTAGGATACCTATTTAAAGGTATATATTAGATATAAATATTATTTGTTATGTTTTGATGCAAATTATTTTTCCTTATTAATGATAGTATTATAAATTGTAGTATATTATAAAAAGGGATTATAAAACATTGTTAAGGCGGGCACAATTATAGCAGACAAGGGTTTAGCAGTCATTTAGAACTTTTATTCTTCTATTTTAGGGAATCTGGAAACATCAAAACTGGATTAGAACATCTGGTAAGTTCTAATTTTCTCTTGAACATTTGCATCATCTTTGATATCTGCATTCTAAAAGACACTTTTGAATGAGCTTTGAATACCTTGTATTGAGAAAGTCAACCATTTCCCAACGGGTCAGCTTACTGTTATTATGTGAAGGCTCTTACATTTTCATTTATCTTACCATTTCAAGGGAATTAAAAAATTTTTTTAAATTACTTTTTTTAATGTGGAGATGAAATAAAATGAATGACAATCCTTGGATTGATGATGGCTTTAATTATAAACAAAATTGTTTGGTGTAGAAATTTTGGCATATCTTGATCTGACAAAACAAGCTTGTGTTTTAAGAAAAATGCAATCAAATATTGCATGCATAAATATGGTATGTTTTAGCAATTTAACAGCTTTGAAAGAAGTGCACAGCTTTGTTTTTACTGATGTCTGTGCTTTATGAATAATGCAGTGGTTGAAACTCCATTCAGTTTTAGATTATAAAAGTAATTGAGATGCAAAATTTTTGGTTTAAGTAAACATTTTGAAAGTCCAAGTGAAGTCCAAACTGGTTTAACATTAAAATCTACCCATTGATTAATCAAAACAAATGAGAAAACTGTTGCATTGTAACTGATCTGAAATTTACTGAGTTTACCATATTGAGTGTTCATTACAACATTAAGTAGTTCATTTAAACAGAGCATTATAAAGTCATGATCTGGTTTCTGGTCAAATCCAAATGTTAAATAATTAATGGTAGAGATTCTTTTGTAAATACAGTCTAAGTACTTTTTTAATGCAAGGCTTCATTCGTATATCATATGATAGCTTTGTTAACTATTAATGTGATTTTCTTCTGCTTCACAAACGGTACTCTGCAGCAGCTTCATCTTTACCTGTAATCATTTGAAAGTTGGGAAGAATTTGGTTTTCTTATCAATGAGAAAGGAAACGAAAGAAACCTAATTTTTTTTTTAAAGTTTCCCTAAATTTGCATATTATTTTTTTAAGCGACAGAATATAATAACATAATTAGGAAATTTTGAACTGTGTATCAGAATTGTAAGTCATTAATTAGCATTATAAATCTCATTTTTAAAAATTTTTTAAAATTATTAATTTTAATGAAAGTTTACAGAGACTTTGGATTTTTATTCATTCATTGTTGCACTTTTTTCCCTGCCCAACCTCTCCTCCAGTTTGCTCTTCTCTTTGAAAAAGAAAAGAAAATTTTTTTCATGGTTATACAATCCCTCCACCCAAGTCCACTCCACTATGCAGCCTTCATTTTGGACTCCTGTCATGACAATACCTAATCATATATCCCTTTTAAACAGTTCTCTCCCTCATCTGTTTCAATGCAGTATACATAATTTATCCCATCTTTCTCAGTCTTCCTCCAATCCCGAAGTCAGTCCCATTTTACAAACAGTGGCACTATGCAGTGTTTGTCCTTTTGTGACTGAGATATTTCACTCATCATAAAAAGTATATTTTTGGACATCAATTTATCACTTTGGTTTTATATGCATAAGTCGTTGTTGTTATGTGCCATTGAGTTGCTTGTGACTCATAGCGACCCTATGTACAACAGCTCTGAACCCTGTTCTGTCCTGAGCCAACCTTATTGTCTCTGACACACCTGCCCCCATTACCCTAGTCATTGAGTCAGTCCACCTCATAGAGGGTCTTCCTCTCTTGTGCTGTTGCTTCACCCTCCCAAGCATGAAGTCCCTCTCCAAAGACTGGCTCCTCCTTGTAACATGTCCAGAGTATGTCAGATGAAGGTTCAGAATCCTTGTGTCCAAGGAGCCGCTTGATACCACCCTCTCTAGGCTGAACCTGTTTGTTCTCCTGGCAGTCCATGATGTATTCAGTACTCGACTCCAGCTCAAAGGCATCAATTCTCCTTCTATTATCCCTAGTCATTGTACAGCTTTCTGACACATAGCAAGTAATTGCAAAGACCATGACCTGGATCAGGTGCACCTTAAATCTCCAGACTGACATTGTTGACCTCTGGAGAGGTCCCTGACAGCAAACTTTCCCAGTGCAATTCGTCTTTTGATTTCCTGACTTCTGGTACCGAAAGTGTTGATTGTGGAGCCAAGCAAACTAAAGCTGTTGACATTTAGGATTTATGCAAATTGTAATAAAAGCATTAATCTGTAATATCACATTCATATAGATGGATGTTGTTGTTTGCCTTTGAGTCAAGCACTACTCATAGTGACCCCATGAACAAAAAGCCTGAAACCCCTCTACAACCGTCAACATCTATCAAAGTTCATAGAGTTTCTGGAGCCATGTTATTTAGAAAGCGGATGCCTCTCCTGCTTCCAACAGCTTATGAAAAAGAAGATGAGCAAAATGTCAGTTTTATTTCTCTTATAAATTGTTGAGTATCCCTGGTGAGACAATGGCTTACCACACCACTGCTAACAGAAAGGTGGGCAGTTTGAGTATGTCAGCTGCTCTGAGGGAGGGAAATAGGAAAGTCTGCTCCTGTAAAGGTTTTCAGTCGTGGAACACCTTCTGGTTCTTCTGGTCTATCTTTTGTTGTTGTGCGCTGTCAAGTTGGAACTGACTCATACATAGTTGACCTTCCAGTGAGTTTTCAGAGGCTGTAAATTCCACAAAAAGAGATTGGTTATCTTTCTCCTGCAGAGCAACTGGTGTTCTTTCCTATGTTGTTTTTGTTGTTGTAATGTGCCATAGAGTCAGGTGCAACTCACAGTGACCCCGGGCATAATAGCTCTGAACCCTCCCCTATCCTGAGCTAATCTCACTGTTCCCAACACACCTACCCCAGTTACCTGTGTCAGTCCATCTCATCCAGGGTCTTCCTCTCCTGGGCTGTCCCTCCACCCTTCCAAGCATAATGTCCTTCTCCAAGGACTGGTCCTTCCTTGGAAACATGCGCAAAGTATGTGAGATGGAGCTTCAAAATCCTAGCCTCCAAGGAGTAGCTTCATTTCACCTTCTCCAGGACAGAGTTGTTTGTTCTCTTGGTATCCATGTCATGCTCAATACTCTTCCCCAGAGACACAACTCAAAGACATCAATTCTTCTTCTGTCATCCTTAGTCATTGTCCTGCTTTCAAATGCATTGAAAGTAATTGTAAAGACCATGACTTGGATCAGATGCCCCTTAATCACTAAACTGATGTCATTTCTCTTTAGCACTTTGAACCAGTCCTTAAGAGCAGATATTCCTAATGCAGTTTGTCTTTTGATTTCCTTACTGAGTGTTGAGTGTGGAACTAAGCAAACTGAAATTGTTCACAATCTCAATCTCTTCTCTATCTATCATGGTGCTGCCAATTGGCCCAGTGACGAGAATCTTTATTTTCTTGATGTTGACTTTCAAGAATATTGAAGACTATAATATTTGACCTTCTGCAACAAACTTCTGGTCCTTTTCAGTTTTGACAAACAAAGTTGTATCATCTTTCCTATAGAGTGAACGTTCATCTCACATTCTTTGGACATGCTGTTAGGAGAGGCTTGGAAAGGTGCAGGATCCGCAAAAGAGAGCCAGGTTCAGATCCATCGTTCATAGGGTGGCTGTGAGTCACAGCTGACTCAACAACAACAACACCTGACAACAGAATGAATACTGTACAAGGGAAGGACGAAGCGTCAATATGCATTTGAGTAAATACGAAAATTGAAAGCACAGCACGTTATACGAGTCACAGAGGCCAAATGTGGTTGCACTATTTTTATGTTTTTGGATTCTTTTTGTATATAGAAAAATACATAACCCTGCAAAGGGGAAATCAGGTGTAGGTATACAGAGAGAGTAGGAAGTTAATGTATGTACTGGTATTCTCTGAGAAGTATTTGCCTCCACCTTTTATTTTCCTCTTTTTATAAGAGGTGGCATATTGTATATTTATTTTACATAACATGGAAAAGTTAGGAAAATTATTTCATAATTCTGTGTGAATCATTTTTATTGTGTGCACGTTGATTTTGTTGTTTTCAGGAACTTTGAAGAATATAAGATTTACTGCTGACAAAATGCATTTTTAAATAGGACCATACATAAAGTCTAAGAAATTTCATAGATCTGCCAGAAGATATGAGATTTGTGCAGATGGAGAGGCTGAGGATGTCACTGGTGGCGGAGGAGCAAGCTGTGGGTTTGCAGCGATGCCCTCACACCGGGAAGCTCCAGCTGAGCCTGCTGGCGGCTGTCACTGAGGCCACTTTCACTCGAAGCCACTCCGTGGGCAACACATTGGAACCTCATCGTGATTACCTCTGTGGCTAAGCCATTTGTTGCAGTAGCCAGGTTAGTTCTTCTCCTTGAGGGTCTTCCTTTTCTTCTCTGATTCTTTCCTTTTTCAAGCAGTCCTTCTTCAAGGACTGGCCTCTCCTCAGAACATGTCCAAAGTTACTTCTCAGCTATTCTGAAATTCAGATGAGACAACCTCTAGGTCATATTTTAGCGCTCATGGATTTTGTTGTTGTTGTTGTTTTCTTCCTCTTGAATTTTGAATTCTCATAGGAGTCATTGATTATCTGTTCACAGTCGCCAATTGGCCTTGTTCTGGCTGATAATATTGAGCTTTTCCACTGTCTCTTTCCAGAGTTGTTTTGCTTAGATTCGTGTCATTTCATCAGATGAGGCCTATATTATTGTTGTCTTTTATGTTGGGTTTGTTGTTGTTGTTTAAGAAACTATACTTGCTATTAGAAAAACCTACCCATCATTTGCCTAAGAGAAAGACAGTATTTTATCTATCTGCTTTTTGGTCCAGAGGAAGATTCTGTCTCCATGTTCCAAGATTCTTTGCAAAAGTATTTCAGTGAAAATTGTCTACAAAAAAGCAGATAGATATAAGATATAAAGAATGGAGCTGCTATTGGAAATTATCTTTCAAAAGTTATTGTTATATTTTTCTTTAGTAAATTTAGAGAGGTTTTTATGCAGTTATTCCTTTTGTGTTTATAACTTCTATGTTTCTATTTTAGACCTTTTATTCCTAGTTAGCATCTGTCTGACACCATCA